TTAATTTCACTTGTTTGATTTTTTGTTTGTTGCATTTTCTGTTGTTCGCGCCGCGGCGCTGCGCCGGCCCTCGCGCTGCCAGGGGCGGGCAGGCGATAATGCGAAAATTGCACCCCCCTCATAAACAAAAACTACATAAAAATTACATCCCAAAAACATCCTGCGAAAAAGCTGCAAACACTAAGGAACAACACGGTTTTGGCAAGCTGGTGCTCACGAAACCTATAGAACACAAAGTGTTTCGTGACGTCGATGGGCCGAAACCATGTGTTTTCACAGGCTCGGTGGCTATCAGGCGTCCAAAACTTTGGTTTCCTTTAGGCGCAGTTTTTTCGCATGGTTTTCTTGGGATGTCATTGGTTTTCTACGTTTTGTATGTTTTTTTGTTGTTTTTTTTGTTTGCGTGTTCTGTTGTTCACGCCGCGGCGTTGCGCTGGCTCGCACTGCCAGGGGCGGGCAGGCGAAAATGCGAAAATTGCTACACACACAAAACAAAGACATCCCAAGAAAATCATGCGAAAAAACTGCAAACACTAAGCAAGGTTTTGGCCAGCTGAGCTTGCCACGAACGAAATTCATTTGTAATTCGCCACAAAAGGAATCCATTTGTAATCCGCAACAGAAGGAATATTTTTGTACCCCGCCACAGAAGGAATCCATTTGGAATCCGCCACAGAAGGAATCAATGTGAAATCCTGAAATCCGTTACAAAAGGAATCCAAGTGTAATCTCCCACAACAGGAATTCAAGTGTAATCCACCACGAAAAGAAGCCATTTGAAAATGCGCGACACAAGAAATCCATCGATACGGAGCCAAAAGGAAGCCAATAGGGAGATGAGAGGGAGCCAAGAGGGAGCCAAAAGATAGCCAAGAGGAGCTTGTTGAAGGTTTTGAAAAAAAGGAGGGGTTGCTAGCGCTTACCGCTGCCCACGAGGGCTTCTTGAGGTTGTGAAAAAGGGGGAACTGATGTGTATGTTTTGACAAGTGTTGCGGGGGGCGGAGTGCACAAACATGGAGTTCTGGGGCGCCTGGCGCAGAACATTGTTGTCGGATGTGTAAGTTTCAAGATTACGTTTAGCACTTGTCGAGGGTTTGCGTTTCCCAAAAGATTGGAGTGCAGATGTTTTGGGTATCTTTGGGGTGTCTTTCGGGTGCTTTCCATGCGCCTTGACAATGAAGTCTTGGGTCGCTTGGAGCAGAGCGTTGTTTTCGTATTCGCAGGCTTCAATTGCACATGCAACATTTTGGGAAGAGTTTTTGTTTCTTGGAATTTGACGTGGGCAATTTGCGGCTGCCTTTGGGGTGCATAGCGGGTGCTTTGCGGATGTTTTGCGGGGGCTTTGGCCATGATCGTTGGGCCGCTTGGGGCAAAGCGTTGATTTCGTAGTCGCACATTTCAATCGCACATGCAATATGTTTCGAAGACATATGTTGTTCCAGGAATTTTGTGTGGGCGATTTGCAAGTGCCTCTGGCGTGCCTGTTGGGCGCCTTGGAAAGGGAGCCAAGAGGAGTTTGCTGAAGGTTTTGAAATAGGGGGGATTGCTCGCGCTTGCCGATGCCCACGAGGGCCTTTTAAGGCTGTGAAAAAGGAGGTACTTATGTGCATGCGTTTGACAATTTTTGCGGGGGGCGGAGCACACAAACATGAAGTTCTGGGGCGCCTGGCGCAGAACATCGTTGTCGGATATGTAAGTTTCAATACCACGTTTCGTACTTTTCGAGAGTATGTGTTTCCTAAAAATCTGGAGGGCTGATTTTTTGGGTGTCATTGGGATGCATTTCGGGTGCTTTCCGGGTGTCTTGACCATGAAATCCTGGGTCGTTAGGAGCAAAGCGTTGTTTTCGTATTCGCAGGTTTCACACGTAAATGAACCAAGTTTGGAAGATTTGTTTTTTGCAGTTTGGCGTGGCCGATTTGCAGGTACGTTTGGGGTGCCTTGCGGATGCCTTGCGGGTGCTTTGCGGGTGTTTTGGCCATGTTTTTTTTGGGTCGTTTGGAGCAAAGCGTTGGTTTCATAGTCGATCACTTCAATAGCACATGCCATACTTTTCGAAGAGATAGCTTGTTCCAGGAATCTTGTGCGGGCGATTTGCGGGTGCCTTTCGGGTGCCTTTCCGGTGCTTTGCGGGTGCCTTAGGGGCGCCTGTGGTGTGATTATGTTTTCTTTCATCCCTTTCTCATATTGTGTCCCTCTTGCCCCTTTTGTCCCCTTTTGTCCCCTTTTGTCCCCTTTGTCCTCTTTGTTTCTTTTTGTCCCCTGTGTCCCCTTTGTCTTCTTTGTCCTTTTTGTCCGCTTTGTCCCTTTTTGTCCCCTTTGTCCCTTTTGCTCCCTTTAATTATCTTTTGTCCCCTTTTGTCCCCTTTGTCCCTTTGTCCCCTTTTGTAATTATTGTGTGGCGTTTGTCCCTTTGTCCCCTTTTATCCCCTTTGTCCCCTTGTCACTTTTGTTCCCTATTGTTGCCATGTGGAGTGGTACCTTGGAGTGCTCATCGGGCGCCCCCCCAGGGCACTCGGAGGACGGTAAACGCACGATATCTCCCAGATGTCTCCCTGGTGTCTCCCTGGTGTCTTCTTCGTGTCTCCCTTTTTTTGTTTTGTTTTTTAGTCCCCTTTGTCCCCTTTGTCCCCTTTTGTCTCCTTTTGTCCCCTTTGTCCCCCTTTGTCCCCTTTGTCGTCTTTGTTCTCTTTGTTCGCTTTGTCCCCTTTTGTCCCCTTTGTTCCTTTTTGTCCCCTTTGTCCCTCAGGATGCTTATTGGAGATCTCCCAGGACTGGAGAAAACAAAAAAGGGAGACACGAGGGAGACACCAGGGAGGCACCAGGAAGATATCGTGAGTTTAGCGTCTTCCGAGGCTCATTTGGAGCACCAGAAGGACCAGGAGGAGGAGCAGGAGAATTAGTAGGAGGGAGGGAGGAGGATGGGAGAGAGAAGGACGAGGCGGAGGAGGAGGAGGAGGAGGAGGAGGAGACACAGCGTCCTCCGAGTTGCCCTGGGAAACTCTTTCCGAGTGTCGTGCGGATTGATAGCAGCGGCATCGGTGCCTTCGGGGTGCCTTTCGGGTGCTTTGCGGGTGTCTTGGGGGTGCCTTTCGGGTGCTTTGCGGGTGCCTTAGGGGTGCCTGGGGGTGCCCATCGAGGTGCTCATCGGACGCTAAACGTACGATATCTCTCTGTATCTCCCTGGTGTCACCCTGATCTCCGTTTTCTTGTTATTTTTTAGGCCATGGAACACCTCCGGAAAACACCCCGAGAACACCCGAAAGGCACCCGAAACGCACCCGAACATATCTTATTGTGTCTTGGGTAGCTTCCCCTGGCAATCGTTGCGAACATATTCGTTCGAAGATTATTTGGCAAGGTCCGTGAAACTATGCACATAGCGGTGCTGCTGCTGGTGGTGCTGCTGCTGCTGCTGGTCCTGCTGCTACTCCTGCTGCTGGTGGTGAGCGTCAAGTCGTTGGGATGCTTGGGTTGTTTGCCATGAGGCCACAAATCGTTGAGATGCTTGGAGCGCGACAAAGATGGAGATTCAGATGCTATGTTGATATGCATATGTGTTTATGCATGCATGCGTGCGCGTACATATCTCCGCAGTTCGTACGATGGTGCATGTGCAGATTCACTTGGTAAAAAAAAGCCTTGCTGCAATCATGGAAAACACAAGTCAAATAGGGTGAATGCTATCCCCCTCGGATCCCCCCTTCCCGCCCCACGCCGTGCGTGCCGCCTCGGAGGCGCGCGTTGCTGGGGCCCACCGCAGGTCGCGCATTTCGATGGCTCTCTCGGGCATTGGCGTGCCCATGCTTGCCTGAGAAATTCACATGCTGCTGGGCGTGGCGAGCAGACGAAAGGACCGGCTGGGGAGGAGGAGGAGGAGGAAGAAAGAAGGCAAGACAGAAAGGAGTGAACGAAGGGGGGGAGGGGAGAGGAAATGGGGCAGGAGGTGGGAGAGCGGAAGGAACGAGAGCAGGGATGAATGCAGCGAGAGAGCCAAGGGGGAGGGGGAGCGAGTGAGAGAGGGGAGGGAAGAAAAATGAGAGGGGCGGAATTAGAGGGACGCGGCAGGAGAGATGGTAGGGTCTTGGAGTGTGGTGCGGCCGAAGGGCAGGGGAGAGGAGGGGTGGAGGTATGGACGCAGGAGGAAGGGACGAAGGAGGGAGGCAGGAGGGATGGCCGAGTGAAGAGGTGGGCTGGAGGATGGAGGATGGAATGACAAGAGCTGGAGGGAGAGGAGGAGGAGGAGGAGGAGGAGGAGGAGGAGGAGGAGGAGGAGGACGAGAAAATAAGGAGCAAGAGGTTTTGGCGCTTGGCGGATGAAGGGATGAAGAGAAAGAGGAGGAGGAGGAGGAGGAGGAGGAGGAGGAGGAGGGCTAGGGAAAGGGGAGGGTTTTGGAGGGAGAAGGGAAGAGGAGCAGGCGGACGAATGAGGAGAGGGGGGATGAAGGATGACGGTGGAGGGAGAAGGGAGGAATGGTAAGGAAGATGAGGATGGCAGAGAGATTGGATGATGACGATAGTGCACAGCAGTATGATGATGCGCATGGTGGCGACGGCGAGGATGATGGTGTTGATGGTGGTAATGATGGTCATGAAGAGGATGGTGAGGAGGATAGTGGCGGTGATGATGTACATGCCGATGATGAGGAGGAGGTGGAGGAGCTGGAGGAGGCAAATAGACAGATGAGGATGAGTGGATGATAATGAAGCGGAGAAGGAAGAGGAGGCGAGGAGGATGAGGAGACGCATGCCGATCAAAAAACAGGGGAGGCGGAGGACGAAGACGAGGATGACGAAGAGGCGCATGGAGGCGATGACGAGGGCGAGGGCGAAAATGGAGGAGCTGAAGGAAGAGGAGAAGCAAAAGGTGGAGCAGGAGGCGCAGGCGGAGGGGGGTGGGGGCAGGGAGGCTCGGAGGAGAATGGGGGAGGGTGGCGAGGTGAGGCCAGGGAGGAGGGGCCAGGCAACATGCCAGCTCCGGCGTCGCGCCCGCGCCGAAGGACGGCCCCGCTCGCGGGGCGACGGCCGACGCCATCCCGGAGGCGCGCCGCCAGCTCCCGCGCGGCTCGTGGGGCGGCAAGCGTGACTTTTGCTGGGTTTGGGCACACGAGCTCGAACTCCCTGCCCTTCCCGTAGGGCCTGATGACCTCTCTCCAGGCGACCTGCGGGGATCAGGCCTGATACTTTCTGCGGTCGGGAACGTTCGGATGGCGTGTCGCTCCGCCGGCTCTGGCCAACCACACTTCGTCGCGACACGCCATTCAAGTCCTGGCCCACGGAGCGAAGCGACACGCCATCCGCTCGCATGGCATAGCGTGTCGCCGGGGCCGCCGCCGCGACACGTTAAGCAACAGTTCCAGACATGTTGCGCAATCTATAGTGTGTTTTCTTGTGCATGAGTTGTGAAGCAATAAATGTGGTACAACCTCGCGATTGCAATATATGGTGTGCAACCTAGGCTGCGCATGATATGTGGTGCATGCTTGGTCCAATGTATACTGTTTGCAAACGATGCGATGCAAAGTATGCGGTGCAAGATATGTTCTGCATTCGATGTTGCGCACTATTTGTTGTATGACTTGTGTATATATATATCATATACCTATGTATGGTTCGGTTCACTGGATCGCAACCCATGTGGTGCGCAATCTATGTGGTGCCATTCAGGTGGTGCAAGCTGTGTTGTGCAACCTATGTGGCGCCAGGGAGATCTCTAAGCATATAAATATATAAGTAGAGATGGTGCAATCGACGTGGTGCTATCTACGCGGTTCAATCTATGTGGCGCAATCTATGTTGTGCAATCTAGGCTTTAGGCGGCGACGGGGCGGCGACGGCGGCCACATAGCCGCCAAACCGAAAACACGGCCCAGACGGCGGTCGGCGACAAGGCGGCGACGGCGGCCACATGGCCGCCAGAGCAAAGACACGGCCCAGTTCCTCGGAACAGAAGTACGACCCTTTACGTGCAAGCATTGTTTGGGGAAAATATGTAAACCAAAGGATCAGCAAGGAAGCCTGGTGCACATCGCGGAAGCTCCAGTGTGAGTCGAGGGACAGCAGAAGTCGGCAAGCCATTACGAGTTCTGCCGAGGCTCCCTCCCTCGCCACACACCCGAGCGATCTGCCAGGGCCGAGCGCCCTGCACTCGGCGCGTGCCGCGGCCGCCGCGCTGTTTGCAACGCTATAGCGTCATGCACCCCAGAGTTGCTGTTCCATGCTATCCCCATCTTCCGCTCGCCCCATTCCCCTTCTGCTGTGCCTGTGCTCCTCACGTTCGTCCTTTGGCCTCTCGGTGAACCTCTCGGTGAACCTTCGGGCCCCAGCTGGTTGGTTAGAACCATCGCGGCGTGGTTGGAAATCTTGTGGTGTGGCATGCTTGATTGGACTGGTCGTGCGTCTTACTCACTGGAAGTCTGAATACACATGAAGTGTTCGGCCTGAATATATACTTGGCAGCGTTTCTTTCCAGTGCCTGGGCCTCGTATGGTCGGGTACGCTGGCTTTCCGCATGTTGTGTATACATCGCGTGGCTATCACAAGTTCCGCGGGTGAATCCAGCCGCGTGTGCCTTCCAGGTTCCACGTAGTGTTGCTCTGTTTTCCGCATTCGCTAGCAAACGTTTGAGGTCTTTACATACAGGGCGGACCAAGCGTTTGCTGCAGGATTGTCACACATTTGTTTCAGGCTTCTCAGTTTACGTCCTCGCTATTGCGGTCACAATGGGGGCGCTTAGGGAACACTATCCCTCCTTCTCCTCCTTCTCCTCCTCCTTCTCCTCCTTCTCCTCCTTCTCTTCCTTCTCCTCCTTCTCCTCCTTCTCTGTACTTCCATCTCTCCCCTTCTCGCAGGGCGGCGGCCATGCCAGAATCTGATCCAGTCGTCCCCGTGCACGCATGGGCACCCTTGCGGGTGGCGCGCCAGTGCCGCAGGGAGCCTGGCGCGCCGGCGGTGCTCTTTGCCGGCTCCGGTCGTCTCTCGTCGTCCTCCTCCTCCTCTTCCTCCCCCACGGCTTCCCCTCCCTGGCTATCACCAGCTGGAACCAGGCATTCACGGAGAGCATTTTGTGCAGCTTGCCATTGACACTTGGATATGCGCTTAGACATTGTGCCACTCGCAATCTCGTGCGAGGCAGGATCGGTCCCAGGGGTCGCGGTTTTCACATTTACAGAATGTGTTGATACGCAGCCCGTGGTTGCAACTGGGTGCGGGCCAGCGGATAGTGATCGACTGAGTTTTGACAAGCTCGGTTGGTGGGGTCTGTTTGTGTGAACGAGTCGACACGCTCTACCGCAGGCTGTGAACCCGCAGGGGGGGGGGCCAATGTGTTGCAGCCCGAGCGGAACAGGTATACCGCCAAGATGTCTGCATGCGCTTCAAGAAGAGTCAGGCTTGAAGATGCTTACGCATCGCATGTGGGTGTACCTTGACAGTGGGTTCCCTCAGCCTTCTGCATTGTCGGAGGTTGAGGTGATTGACGTTGCAGGTACCTCACTGGACATGGAGCCTGACCAAGTAGCTTCATCGTCGAGAGATATGGTTTCGTACTTCGTATTAGATGGTAGAATGGTATCAAGCCCCCACACAAAGAGCATTTGAGCAAGCGGCATGGTCAATTGGAGTGCTTCCCGCAAGTGGCCCAGATTCAGAGCTTGCTGCTGTAATGCGCGGAGTCGTCCATGACACTCTTCCTCTTACTTCTGCCACGTATGAACACGTTGGCTCCGCGGTGAGCGGCCAATTGGCTGATCGCCTGAGCAACCGGCGGCAAAACAATGTCCCAGCGAAGTTTGCGGCAGCAGTTGGCAGCCAGCAGTGGGCGTGCTGAAGTCATACGGTTGCGCAGTCTTTCGAGGGCACTGCGTTCATCCATCAAGCGGGGCACGCGAAGGCCCATTGGTCCCAGTAAGAGACCCAGGCGACCAGAATGGCAAGCTCTTTGTTGCGAACGCTGTGCTTTATCATCACCCGAAGGTGACGGTGCAGGTGTACCCCAGCGCGGATATCCATTTTCTCCAGGGCCTGACTCGGTTTCGGAGAGATTAGCCATTTCGCGAAGCTTGCTTCAGCTGGCTTGCCGTTGTGCAACACATGATCTCGGGAAGCCCTCCCCAACCCACGAGCGTGCTGGGTGGGCGAAACGGCCCGTTGAAGAGTCGGAGTGGCGATGCAGTGAAGCAGGCTGGCCATACGTCCGCTGTCTGATGTTGGGTGTCAATGCAAAACCTCGCTACCGCTAGAAGGGTGCCAAGGGATGCCTACATTCGCGAAGGGATTGCTGGTGGGTGCTCCAGGTCACATGATCGTCGCCGCTGTCGGGCTCGAGGTTTTGAAATTGAGGGTCAGGACGAGGTTCAGAAACGGATCTGCTGGCAGAGCTTATGTTTAATTTTTGGGGGTTGGTCCCTCAACGTGTGGGGGTTTACATGCACCCCTGTGAGCCCCCCACGAAGATATGCCAGCAGAACTAAGATCGTCGTCGACGGGGGAAGCCGTCGGCTCGTGAAGTAAAGGTGTGCTCCTGGACCGCACCGTTCCCCTTGCCAGGCTGGCCCTCGTCCGATCTTAGAGGGCAGTATCAACCGATCTCTGTCAAGCGAGGCTGTCTCCTCCTCCTCCTCGTCCTCCTGCTCCTCCTGCTCTCCTCCTCCTCTCCTCCTCCTCCTCCTCCTCCTCCTGCCCAACGGTGGTGGGGACTTCCTCCTCGGCCGAAGGTGCGGCACCATCCCATGAGCAACGCACGGCGGCGCTGGCGAAGAGGACTCGTGTCGAACAGGCCTTGAACAAAGGACGGTCACACTAGTTTGAGCACGTCAGCGCTGTGCACTCCCTCGTCGCGGCGTTCTGGTCCATTCCTCCTCCTCGTCCTCCTCCTCCTCCTCCTCCTCCTCCTCCTCCTCCTCCTCCTCCTCTCCTCGTCCTCCTCGCCCCCCTGTGGGGGAGGCATTGCGAGAGTTATCTGCAAATCCGTCGCTTGTGCAAGCGCGCTGTGATCCGGACAGGGCCCTGCTCGGATTGTATAGTAGGGCGATGTCCTGCACCCTGCGGGCCTCTCCAAGCCAGGGCTTCACTTTTCACCATTCATCCCCCTGGGGGATGGGGACGTTGACCGATCACAGCCGTTTGGGCACGAGCTCCCGCCCCATCCCTGCCAGGAGTGGTTGCCAAGTTCGCGTTCCGAGAGGTCCCAAAGCGGCACGGCGAGTGCAGCAGTCCGTCGGGCCTGGCCTCCTCAGGATTGCTCGGCGCCTCGATCGAGTAAGATTCGGAGGTGGAGGGAGGAAGGAGGCGGAGTGAGGAGGGATTGAGGAAGTGGAGGAAGGAGGTAGCGGAGGAGGGAGGCGGAGGAAGTGGAGGAGGGATGAGGGAAAAGGGAGGAGGAGGAGGAGGAGGAGGAGGAGGAGGAGGAGGAGGAGGAGGAGGAGGTGGAGGAGGAGGAGGAGGAGGAGGGAGGGAGGGAGGCGGAGGGGGGAGGAGGAGGGAGGAGGAGGGGGGAGGAGGGACGAGAAGGGATGAATATGGAGGAGGAGAGGGTGCCCACCACACCATCCGTGCCCATGCCGTTCTTGGACCTTTCTGCTTCGCTGTCCCGACAAGCTTCTGGTTGAGGCCATGGTGGAGGAGCTGAAGCAGATGCAGCGTTCGGACCCCGTGGCCAAGGAGCAGTGGCACGCCTACTGCGAGGCTTATGGCAACGGTGTCCGCGACCCGAACAGGCATGACCTCACGTTCATCCAGAGCTTCGTCACGCAGTACGCAAGCGGCGCGCGGCTCGAGTCGAGCGAGGGCAAGGAGCTGGTTCAGTACATCAAGCAGGGCAAGAGGAAATCTCCAGCGTGGAAGCAGATCTGGGAGATGTACGCCGACACACGGATGGTGGACGGTAGGCCAAAGCACGACCCGGCCGCGCACACCCCCGATTTCTTGGAGGGTTTCTTCGAGTTCGTGGGCAACATGGCGGTAGGCAGCGGGGCCGTGATGAGCGGCATGGGCGGCATGGGTGGCATGGGGGGCATGGGCGACATGGGCGGCATGGGCGGCATGGGCGGTTACGGCGGCACCTGGCGACGAGCAAATGGGCCCAGGGTCAGGGGAGCCAGCATTCTCCAATGCTGTCACAAAGGGGTCTTCTGGGATCGACCTCCCTCCCGGAGGAGGAGGACGAGGAGGACTAGGGTCAGAAGGCTGCCTGACTGCAGCGGATGCCTTCTGCGAGACTGCCCGACTGCAGCAGGTCTGGGGGGGTGGCCGTGCTTCTGAGAATGCCTCTCCTCTGCAAGAACTCGCCTGCCTACCAGAAAACTGGATACGCATGGCGTGGCTGGTCTGAGCGAGATCTGGACACGAATCTAGTCGCATTTCTTTCCAGCGGTCGCCCCCCGCGTGGACGGGCAGGCAGGCACTCCGAATGTGTAATTATCTATCGCGTGGCCTCCGCAGGTTCTCAGCGTGAGTCCATCCGTGTGTGTGCTTCAAGCTGACTGGTATCGAATGGCCTTCGGCCCATCCCGCCACTGTGCCTGGGTTTTGGGTCAGGGGAGGAGGAGGAGGAGGAGGAGGAGGAGGAGGAGGAGGAGGAGGAGGAGGGAGGAGGAGGAGGATGAGGAGGAGAGGAGGAGGAGGAGGAGGAGGAGTGGGAGGGGGGGGGCCGCTGGGCGCCCAATGCACGCCAGCTCGGTCGGATCTCCACGGGAAGCTTCTGAGTCGGGCTCGATCGTCGCCGGCTTTCTGACCTGACCGACTCCGTTATAGGCAGAGGAGTGGGAAGGCCGAGGACGTGGAGGAGGATGCTAGGGCTGAAGATGATGATGATGATGATGATGATGATGATGATGATGATGATGATGATGATGATGATGATGATGATGATGATGATGATGATGATGATGATGATGATGATGATGATGATGATGATGATGATGATGCTGATGCTGATGCTGATGCTGATGCTGATGCTGATGCTGATGCTGATGATGATGATGATGATGATGATGATGATGATGAATGATGATGATGATGATGATGATGAATGATGATGATGAGGAGGAGGAGGAGGAGAGAGGAGGAGGAGGAGGAGGAGGAGGGAGGGGGAATAGGAGGAGGGGGAATAGGAGGAGGGGGAATAGGAGGAGGAGGAGGAGGAGGAGGAGGAGGAGGAGGAGGAGGAGGAGGAGGCAGGGGACCCGTCCTCCAGGAATCGGCCCGCTGAACCCGCGCCCTCGCGGGGACGGCAGTGGCAGGCGGAGTCGGCAGCAGTTCTGGGAGCCTCGGTGGGGAGGCCTCGGAGACCCGACAGCACAGAAGGTTTGCTGCCCATGAGGAGCGATAACACTTTTTTGGTCTGCGCGTCGAGAGCGAGCCTCTTCCGGTTAAGAGCTAGGCGGGCCGCGCAAAGCACTAATTGGGGAGACAGGGCGCGGGCGGGCGGGGCCTCAGGCGGCCGGAGGGCGCGGGGTGCAGCAGAGAAGCGATAACACAGGTTACGTGCAAAGCCGAATCGGGATCCACCGTGCCTTGGTTATGGGTCAGGGGGATCTTGGATGCTTGTTTGGATGTCGTGGAAGGCCTTTCTGGGGCCTCTAGGACGCCCTTTTGGAGCCTCTTGAGCACCGTTTGGGGGTCTTTGGGGCTTCGTTTGTGCCTCTGTAGGGCATCTATGAAGTCTCGTGGGTACTTTCTGGGGGCCTCTCGGAGCTTTCTGGGGGCTTCTTCGAGCAGGAGGCTCGACTTGTCGGCTCGTGCTCCCCCGCAGGAGCCCCTCTTGTGCCCTCTTAGGCCGTGGGGGCCTCTTGGGCCGTCTCGGGGCCGTCTTGGAGCGGTCTTGGGTGCCTCGTGGCCTGTCTTGGAGCGTCGGAAGCTGGAAAAACAAGGGCTCCCTCGAGGGCGCGAAGTTATTCGCGCTTCGCGGCCCTCGTTCCTTCTCCCCCTCCTCCTCGTCCTCCTATTCTCCCTTTGGGAGGGCGGCGCGAGAGCGCGAAGTTATTCGCGCTTCGCGCTTCGCGCAGCGCGAAGCGCGAACTTAGGAGCCCTTGGAAAAACTAGGATCAGAAAGACACGGGATCCCCACCTATTGGGACCCTTTGGGGGGTTCCGTGGAGCGTTCTTGGTGACGTGAGCGTCGGGGGCCTCGAGAGTTGTCTCGGAACCATCTTCGGCGTACTGGGACACTCTTGGGCCTTCTCGGAGGCATCTTCGGCCCTCTCGGGCGCGTTCTGGGCCCATGCTTGGCTGGCTGCGCCGCCCGAGGACGCCCGCGACACACGTCCAGGGAATCCCCAGAAATCCCAGGGAGTCCTTTGGCATCCCCGGGATGCCCCGAAATCCTTGGGAAACGGGGGGCCTGGGCCTCGAAGACCTTGCAGCCCCGAGCCTCTCAGGGCTGCATGAGCCGTGGGGCACTCCACTGCGTGCCGAAGGCACGGTCTCCGTGCGGGCCCCTGCCTGGGGGCCCCCTGCTGCTCGCCGCCGAGGCATGGGCTTCGGCGGGAGCGCCCCGAAGATGCTGAAGACGGGCTCGGACAGCCCGCTGGTGCAGAAGATCAAGGCCTACCAGAGGATGGGCCAGGCGCAGAAGGAGGCCTGGCACACGTACTGCGACATGAACCTGGGCGGCAGCCGCGACCCCTCGCGCCACGACGAGGCCACGCTGCAGGCCTTCATCTCGCAGTACGGGGTGCCCTGAGCTCCGAGCTCGGGCTGTGCTGGGCCTGCACGCGTGCATGCGGCGCCCACGGTGTGCACCCAAAGAGGGAGCGCTGGCGCTGCACGCGCCGAGCCCTGACTCCGCCGAGTCTGAGCAGCTGCCAGCTAGCCCTGTGCCCCTCTACGCAAGGGCTCCCACGAGGGCGCGAAGTTATTCGCGCTTCGCGCTTCGCGGTCCTCGTTCCTTCTCCCCCCTCCTCCTCGTCCTCCTTTTCTCCCTTTGGGGGGGCGGCGCGAGGGCGCGAAGTTACTCGCGCTTCGCGCTTCGCGGAGCGCGAAGCGCGAAGTTGGGAGCCCTAGTCTACGTGATCCTACCCCTCCCCTCCCTCCTATTGTGAGCGCCCGCGCCCGACGTGGCAGGGTTTGCCGGGCGGCGCGATGCCTGCCACGCCAGCTGCGACCGGCGGCATCGGGGCCAGCCAGAAGAGCCCCACGCGCTAATTCTCTTACGGTTGATTGAGCATGAAAATCCCTCCGCCGTCCTCGTCTTCTTCCTCCCTCCCTCCTCCCTCCTCTCAGTCAGCTATGTTGCAGAAGCAATGTTGTGCAGCCGATGGGATGCAAGATATGAGGTGAAAGCATGTGGAGGAAGCACCGTGGTGCAAGCTATGTGGTACCGGCTATGTGGTGCAAACTGTGTGGTGTGAGTTCTGTGGTTCAATACACGTGGTGTAAGCTCATGGTGTCATTAAACGTGGAGTCGCCATCTCCAATGATCGAGCGAAGGTCGCAGCCACCAACCCGCAACTTCTTAGCAAAACTCCAGCGGCACAATGACGCGAGGGCCCTTATTATGAAAATGAATGATCCCGGAGTGGATGATGATGTTAACGACGACGACGACGACGACGACGACGACGACGACGACGACGACGACGACGACGACATCGGCATCGACGGTGGTAATGGTGGCGATGGTACGGTGATAATGACGAGGTCGACGTCAACGACGATAGTGATGATGACGATGATGATGCTGCTGCTGCTGATGATGCTGATGGTGATGGTGATGGTGATGGTGATGATGATGGCGATGGCAATGTTGGCGCTGGCGGTGATGATGCCGATGGTGCAGACGAGAATAATGAGGGCTCGCACGCGCTCAGATTACCTGACAGAGTCTGGGATTGAAAGCAATTCGTTGTCAAATGGTACTGAAGACCTCGATCCTGAAGCCGCCGCCAAGACGTCCCAAGAAGCCTCCAAGAGCACTCCCGAGAAGGCCCCACGAGGCAAAACTCATTGCTTTCCTTTCTGTTTTTATTCCAGGGTTTGGGCGGTCTCGCCTTTTCCGCTCCCCGCTGCTACAAGACGGCCCAAGGGACCCTCAAGAACACCCCAAGACGGCCCAGGAGGCCTCCAAGAGGGCCCCCCACGCAGCCCAAGAGGACCCCGCGGCACCCCACAACGCCTCCCAAACGGCCCAAGAGGGAGCGTTCCCAGACGGGGGGCCGAACTGACATTTCGAGCCCTCGGCCCCGAGAGGCCCCCAGGAGGCCCCAGGAGGTTCCCAAGAGGCCCTATGAGGTCCACAGGAGGTCCCCAGGAAGCCCGAAGAGGCCCCAAGAGGTTCCCAAGAGGCCCCCAAGAGGCTCACAAGGGCCTCAGATTTCCTCCCCAGAGGCCCCCAAGAGCCTTCCGAAGAGACCCCAAGAAGCATCCCTCCGGCCCACGTCAAAGTCGCCGTCGCCGCCGCCGTGGTCGTCGTCGTACCTCAAGTCGTACCCCTTCGGGGACGGCGGCATCGGCCGAAAGGCCTTCGCGATAAGACAAATGGCGTTGGCAGGATATTGGCATGTGCGTGCGCTTGTGCCCCGCATGTGGGATCATTGGGAGTGCATTTGTAAGAGCAAAGCGTTTGCTCCGCATAGTGTCATTTGACAGGGAGTGGGGGTGTCAATGAGGGCACTGGCTAAGATTGTATTGCCTAATGGCCTTCGGTCGATGCCGCCACCCTGCCTGGGTTGTGGGCCATAGGCCTCTAGGATGTTCGTTGGGATGTCGCGGGAGGCTTCTCGGGGGCTTCGTGGAGGCAGTTTTGAAGCCTCTTTGGGGCCTCTTGGGGCGTCTTGGCTTTTGTGGCCTCTTAAGGGCCTCTTGTGGCCTCCTGGGTGCATTTCAGGACGGAAGGCTCCAATCTTCGATTTGGGCCCACCATCTGAGGCCCCTCGTAAGGCTCTCTCGGGCCGTCTTGGGCGCCTCGGCCGTCTCGGGGCCCTCTTGGAATGGGGCCTGTTAGGGCTTCTTTGGACGTCTTGGACCGTCGGAAGCTCGAAACGTAGAGAATCCACAAAACACTGCAACACCGATTGGTAAACCAATGATCTTGGTTTTGGGCTTCCTCTCGGAGGCTCCTGTCTTCGGCGCTTTTTCGACCGACTGGAGCCCATCCTTGGACCGTTCGTTCAGCGATTCGGGTCCCTCTTGGGCCATCTTGGGGGCCTCGTGGGGCACTCTTGGTCCGTGTTCGGGTTCTTGTGGGCACGGACAAGTCACGCGATAAGCCCCAGAAGCCTCGCGACAAGCACCATGGTATTGTAGTGGCCTCCGGCCAGTGCCGCCGATCCCGGGCGCTCCGGATGATGATGATGATGATGATGATGATGATGATGATGATGATGATGATGATGATGATGATGATGATGATGATGATGCTGATGCTGATGCTGATGCTGAAGATGAAGATGATTATGGAGAGCATGAGGATGAGGATGAGGATGTGGATGATAATGATGATGATCATGATCATGATGATGATGAAGATGATGATGAAGAGCATGAGGATGAGGATGAGGATGAGGATGATGATGATGATGCTGATGATGATGATGATGATGATGATGATGATATGATGATGATGATGATGATGATGGAGATGGTGAAAGATCCAGGCCCCCCCCCCCCCCCCTCCTCTGGTCCTCCCGGCTCTCCCACCCCCCCTCCCTGTTCCCCTCCCCCTCTTCCCCCCCCCCCCTCCCCCCCTCTCTCCATCCCCCCCCTCTCTCTCCTGTCCCCCTCCCTATCTCTCCTGTCCCCCTCCCCCCCTCTCCCCCCCCACCCCCTATCCGTCCTGTCCCCCCCCCCCTCTCTACATATCCTCCACCTCTCTCCCTGTCCCACCCCCTCTCTCTCAATCCCCGTCCCCCCCCCTCCTCATCCTGTTCCCCCCCCCCCCCCCTCTCTCCTCCCCCTCTCCTCCTCTCCTGACCCCCCTCCCCTCACTCCTGTCCCACCCCCCTCTCTCCTTGTCCCCCCCCCCCTCTCATCTCCGTCCCCGTCCCCTCTCTCCCCTGACCCCGTCTCCCCACGCCGCCACCCCTCTCTCACTGTCCCCCCCCCCCCCTTCTCGTCCCTCCCCCTTTCTGCTGCCCCCTCCACCCTCATCCTCTCTGGGGGTTGGGGGGGGGGAGTGCCGCAGCACTTAATCTTCAATTAGTTACGTCCCCTCTCCCCCCCCCTCCCAAGCAGAGCAAAGCTCATGCTGAAGCAGAGCTCCAGCTTAGACTTCGTAAACTCACACGCCGGATCGGCGGATTTAGGAAAGTGGGGTCTGGGCCCCCAAGAGGATCCTCAGGACTTCCGTAGCCATTTTGGCTCAAGCAGCCATTTTTGCTCAAGCATTTGGCTCCAGGAAGTGTCCCTGGAGCATTACACCAGTAAGCGGCGCGCGCGACGATCTCACCACATCCCTTGTTTGTGCCACTATGCGATTAAGTCTCAACGCGCCTGTGTTTGTCATATGCTCTACGTTGCAGATTATGTGCGTGCTTGGGCCATTATTGTTCTATGGGCTTGTCCCTCGAGCTTGGCAGCTGTCGACTTCTGCGATGCGTGCCACTCCCAATCAAGCTCAGATGTCGGCCTCCACGACCACGGTCCCTCGAGGATGGCAGCTGGCGACTTCTGCGATGCGCGCCCATCCCAATCAAGCTCAGATGTCGGCCTCCACGACCACGCCTTGTGGACCCGCTTGTCAGCGGGCTGCGCAAACGCTCCGCGCCGTTGAGCACTCGACCCAGGTCAACCCTTGTGGATCATGCGAGGCGGAAAAGTTAGGAAAATCATTATGGTGGTCAAGTTGGGCAGGTTCGTCGTGGAAGTTGGGCTTGACGAGGCCGCAGGACAAGAAGGCATGGGACTCACGGCAGTGGTCTATGTTTGCCCCCGAAGAGTATCCAAGATATATGGACGCGCGGGCATCCTGCGATTGGTTTTCGACTGGCACTGTGAGAGAACACAATGACAGGTATAGCAACATGCGATCAGGGAGTCCTTTCCGGTACAGTCAGGGAGCTTACAACAGAGGTGGGGGTGATCAATTTCTGAATTCACCCGCCCAAGTGTGTATATTGCCCCCGGTCAGTGATGGAGACGGAAATTGGGCACAAACGTACATCACTCGCATCGGCCCTTATTCTTTCACAGGTAAAGGTTATTACAGCAATGAGTACCATGGATGGGGCTATTTGACCCCGCACAAATTCTCGATAGCGCCAGCTGCCCCTCCTGGCGATACAGCAATTGTTGAAACGATAGATGCGGTGTATGACATGAGCGGCAAGCCTTTCGGATACCCACCTTTGCACACACACCATGATTCTTCCACAGAGCAGGGGCGTTGGCATGAAATGAAATCGCTTCGTAATTGGGGGCCAGTGCTGACGCAGTTTGGGGCAACGAGTTTCAGGCATGCGGACTTTGTGAGTTGTGTAGTCAACGAATCAGATACCAACGCGTGTGCTTATTTGAAGTTGCCACGCAGCCACGCGTTTTTCATTAACAATGGATCATTCAACACGGCAAATAACTTGCACAACATTGTGGGCAACCCTTGGGAGCAGCAGGATTTCGACCAAGATTCTACAGGCTTACGCCACATCCGCCGACCCCTTGTATTCTTTGGTCGCTCAGGTATCAGTTCTTTTGCATTTCCCTTCCCCAGGGGCTCTTGGGGGGTCCTGGGTGCCTCTGTGGGGGATG